TGACTCGAACACCTGTAAAAATAAGACCAGATAATCACCTAAGCCTATAGGCCTTGTTCTGGCACAGAAGTGACCGTCCCTTCCAACCTGAGGATATGTGAAAGTTATATCAGTAGCATGTGGTCTGTTTCTCTACTGATCGAGATGACAAGACACAATACTGACCAACACAGGTTATAATAAAGGCTTTCCATGACAAATATGCTTTTATTAGTGAGTGTTCCTGAGTCTGGAAGAGAAAACAAAAAGGGTTAGGAGGAGTGAGGAAGACGGTGTTGTTTGAGAGTATGGTTTCGAAGATGAATGAAACTACAGTCGAGCTTATAAGAAAGCAAATTAATGTTCAAGCATCAAAGTTGTTACTCTTTTCAAACTGGTCTCCTTATAATGGAGGATACCTGTCCTAGGTGGCGTTGTTAGTGCTTTTTCATGTTTCCAACATTGATAGTGGCTTCAGATACAGATTTTTTTTCATGGACGTGTCCATTTTGTCAGACATGGTGGCTTGGGGTTTTAGTGCGGATTTGTTTTTTCATATAATTACTGTACTTCTTTTTTATACCCTTAAGTGAGTTCTCTTCGACAATATGGAAGGGAAAATGCCATGCAATTGCTTAATTATTAATTTCACAAATGAATAATTTATTTCACACTGTAGTGGGAAGAGATGTCTACTGTATTTTTAAGCACATACATCCAGAGCATTATTTTCCACAGGTATGAACTGGGTCACTCAGAAAGAATATTCATCATATGGAGGAATGATGGACTTTAGAAGTACATGCCCTGTAAAAGACTGCCAAGTGACCACTGTGAGACTTAAGCGTCACTGGCGAGAGAAACACCTGGAGTTTGTGGGCCTGTACCACTGTGCCATGTGCTCTATTAACAGCAAAAGGCGGTACCAAGTGGTGACACATGCGTGTAAAGCGCATGGTGTCACAGATCCAGCAGCTGCAGTGGGCAGAGTAGAGTATCACAGGAACAAGCAGTACATGGACCCAGCTCCTCTCACTTTTGAATCTGTGTTCGGACACAGTATGCATTGACTGTTGTTCCTGAAGTATCTCAATGAGAATGATGGTACCAACAAGAATTCCTTGCATCATGATTACCATTGAAGGTGTGCCTTCACATTTCTGTACAATTTTTTTTCAAACCTGTCTACATTGTGGAATTGGACTTTTGTACAAGAAACTAATTGTACAGGAGATTTGTAGTGAATATCATTGTATGAGTCTCATTGAAAAGTGTCCTCAAAAGGGCTGAGCGTAGTGTCATTGCATGCCTTTGTGGCACTGAATGTTCAATTTAACTTTGTGTGCAGTTTCCTGAACTTTTTGCTTTTTTTTTTTTACCCTTGCCATGGTCACCACAGTTCTAGCACTTTCTTTTGCTAGCATTTTTAGATGTCATCAGAAACATCTTTGCTCTGATGTATAGAAAACAAAACAGGCTCCATGTGTAACTAAAAGAGGACAAAAAATTCTGCTTTCAGGGTTCAGCAGATCGAGACTAGAAAAACCAAGGTACGAGCCCATGTGGACAACAGGCGATCAGTGCCCAGTAAAAGGATGTGAAGTGAAAACTGTTCACTTTCGACGCCACTGGCGTGAAAAGCATGTTGGCTATATTGAGCAGCTCACTTGTCCGCTGTGCCCAGCCATGTCAAAAAGACGATTCAGTATGTACCGTCACATGATGCGCAAACATGGTGTATCTGGGGAGCTCAATCCGATGAGAGTTGAGCACTGGCCAAACTTGCAGTTCATCAATCCAGCTCCACTGACTCTTGACATTATTTTGGGACATTCCAAATATAGCCCAAAGTAATTTCTCAAGAATTTATAGGGTTCGACATCAACACCACAGTGGCTTGTGTTTTTGGGGTAGGGCTCTGTTTATGTGTTGCTGAGTATTTCAATTCGCAAAAAAACATAGTTCGAAATAGAATTCTTTTAACATGTTTTTGGTCCAAGTTTAAATGTGCCCAGTCAAGATGATTTGAATAATTGTTACAATTTTCTGGGTGTGATTGTTGGTCCTTTTATGAAACATGTTTGTACATGATAGTTTGTGCTCTTCTGTTGGCTTGTTATTTTGTGTGTGATACATGTAATCCCAGAGTTCCTTCCAGCACCTTTTGACTAACGTATATGTTTGGAGCTTGACTTTCATGCTGTCTTCTTTCCTGGTGTATATGTGTATGTTTGAAATGGTGCTTAGAGGAAATGGAGACAACTGGTGGCCTGAAGTCACAATCACTATTGGTGATGTATGAGCACATGCGGCTTTCTCTCTAGGTCAAGTTGATTCAGTGACTTCCATTTTCGTCTGCAGGAGGTTCAGCGAGTGGAGACATTCTCCATCAAAGGGCCCTGCTTTCAGGCCACCAGCGTTGGAGGCCACATGAGCCCTGTCCTGTTCCACACTGCAGCCCAACAACAAGTTTTAAGAAGCGGGCAGATTTCCGTAGACATTGGCACGAGCAGCATGAGGAATTAATAGAGCAACACAACTGTGCTCTGTGCCCGCTGATCTCCAAACGCAGATCAAATTTATTAAAGCACATCAGGCAGCGTCATGGCCTTAATGGAGAAGAGGGTGTTGGCCCAGTGCAGTATCAGTATAACAAGAAATATATCGACCCTTACCCACTCACCCTTGACATGGTGTTGGGGTCCTACTATCAACACAGTACATTTGCTTGATTGTTGTCTTGGTACATTGTCTACCTTATGATTTTACTTCCTTCACTGGTAGAAGAGATTTTTTCAATGGATGTGATTTTTGCATGTCTAATTCATGAGACGTGAACATTGACTGTGTTGTTGTTTTAATAAATTACAGTATAGTTACAGCTGGCTGTTAGCAATGGACATGGGTTAATACTGTGTCTAAACAGAGTTTCTGTGACTGACTCACTGACTGTTAACTGCATTCATTTTTCTCTTCTGGAGAGGTCATCTGTTTTGTGGTGTTTTTCATCTCTGACATTAAATGAAACAATCATGTTGACTATCTCTAATCATAGATTCATATTTTGTGGGGAAGAGTAATGTTATGTAAGTTGTCAATTTGCATGAAAAGTATTTTTTGCCCCAGGGTATTTTTAGTTTTTGTATGACTTGCAAAAAACGAAATTGTTTACTAAGGTTACTGTAAAGTGCTGTTGTGACATACTTCAGTCATTGTCTGACTGTAGTAATGTGTGCTGTTTTGTGTCCACAGAATTTAGTACCGGATTCCTTAAACAGAGAGTGGGAAGATACAGGTTTCCATGTCCTGTGGCAGGTTGTAATTTCCGAGGAAGTTTCTCCAAAAGTGAATTCAAGCGTCATTGGAGAGAAAAACATGAGGAATATGTTGAGTTGCATCCGTGTATTCAGTGTAATTTTGTTACCAAACGCATTAGCAATTTAATGAGGCACTCTCAAATGGTTCATGCTCAGAGCCCAAGTCTTGAAAACCCTCGCACGATCTATCAGGAGAACAAAGAATTTTTGAATCCATTCCCACTTACTTTGGCAATGGTGCTGGAGCAATATGTTTAGTCTCGCTTAGTTTCATGTCCCTGCACCAAGTATGATCGATTGACCTTGTTTGTTGTCTTTCCTTTGCATAGAAATAAACCGATTTTTTTTTGCTTGTCCTTGACAGTACTTTCTCTGCTCAAAGTTTTTAAATAAGATTCTGCTGTCCCTGTCCTTGCTCTGGTCATTCAAAGGCTTTGGTTTAATTTTGTCCATGTTGATGACTTTTAAACATCATACAAGTTGATTGCATTGTAGTTTCATATATTGTCACTATTGTTAATGAAAATTCCCTTTGTGCCCAGGGCTTTTGGCAACTGACCTGGTGTTGTCGTTCTAATATTTTTTTTAAATATAAGGATTGTCAAAAGATTTTCCTCAGTGCTTGTGTAATCTAAAATTGTTGATTGTAGAAATGAGAAAAGATCTCGCACCATCTCTGTTGCTTTATGCTGGATAAGGAATTTGTGCATTTGTTTGTTCATGCCTCATGTCATTTTTCTGTATGCATGAGCAAACCCTGTACTTGCAACACGATATAAGAGGTACACAAGAGACTGTCACTTTTGTAGTCACTTGATTATCCTGCTGTCTGAGTTTTTTTTTTTTTACATATTTGTTTTATATTCAAAATGTTTTGGTCAGTTTGATACTGTAATTAAAATTTTTAATTGGTTGAAATGTTCAGGCGTAGTGTTGTTGTCGATTTGTTACACTCAAAGGGAAAGATACCAACTCAGCGTATGAAATTTCCAATGTTCATTGTGCTGTGAGAAAGGTTTTTAGCATGCAATGAACGGGATCAATTTCATTTTTGCATAAATCAGGCTGATATTAAATATCTCTCTTCCTGTAAACCTGGAGTTGGAGTTCTTATGCTGGTACTTTCTGGTAAAATCCTATGACTTGCCAACTTTTCAATGAAATGACTGCTGGCTGGTCTCGTGAGTTTTTATGTTGTGTGAGGCAAAATTTATTGCCCTTGCAAAGAGGGAACAAAGTATACTATAAAAATCTGCAATGTTTGTCTCCAGGGGATGAGAGAAAGAGCTGGGCGCAAAGGATCATCTGCCCTGTGATGGAATGTCACAACATCGGCTACAGTGATCCTCGCTCATTCCGAAGACACTGGAGGTCAAAGCATAAAGCCTACGTGGAACAGTATCCATGTGCCTGCTGTGGAACCCGCTTTTTGAGAAAAGATCATCTTCTACGCCACATACGTTTCAGGCACCCTTCACACACTGACTCTATTCAGAGGATTGAGCCCACGTTCAAGAAAAATCCCTTTTATATAGACCCAGGTCCCTATGACTTAACCATAGCCATGAAAAGCTTCAAAACGGAGTACCGGTACATTTAAGAAAATGATGAAATTCTTCAAGTTAAAAGTGATACCTATAGATGTGTTACCTGCTCGTGGAAATGCTGAGTGCCATGACCTATTGTGTGCATTTCTTTCTGCAGGTTGTGGACAAGATTTTGACAATGATCAACCACTTAGAAATGTGGGCTTCAGATGCCCAGTGTTACAGTGCCAGAAAGTCCAGTACAAGGATGTGAACAAATTGCGGAGACACTGGACGGAGAAGCACGTAAATTTTGTGCCCACATTTTCCTGTGGAGACTGTGGCATCAGTTACCAGCGAAAGTACAGGCTACTGCGACATGGTTATGCTCAGCATGGCTGGGTGCAGGGGGATGGTCACATGCAAGATAAAGTGTTTGAAAGCATCCAGGAGAATAAAGGTTATATTGACCCAGGACCTGTGAGTTGGAGTGACGCAGCCGTTTTCAGCTACAGACTGTTCGTTGAAGACCAATAACAGTCAAAACAGATGTCTTGTCAGCTTTTTTTTTCTTTTTGCACTTACATGTAAATTTTATGGTGCGCACACTAATGAGGTTCCATTCACTTTGAATGCAAGGAAACTTGTACTATAATTTGATGTGTGACTTATTCTTAATCAACTTTCAGTCTTGCTGATACATTCCCCAGAATTTGTGTCATGTATGTCAGTTTTGGCCAGAATGAAGATGATGTTGTTTTAATGTTCTGAGTAATCTGAGCAGCTCATGGACTTTGCTCGACAATTTGTTGACATTTTTTTATAACTGGGGAAAAGTTGATTTTTCTGAATAGTAGTATTCCAAAAGAAATTTAGTTTTCAGACGTTACAATGTTGTCCTGTTTTATCTGCATTTTGGCTCTGTTGTACTTGCCTTTTCTGTTGTTATTTTTCGTTTTCACCTTGTGTGGACACCCCTTGTCCTTTTGTTCAATGATTGAAAGTATGAAACAATGCAGTGTACAATCCTAGGGGGGATTAAGAGGGTACTTTTGCTTCTTAGAGTAGTTTTCACCAGTCTGATTTTTTAGGTACACCTTGTATGCGCTGTGATTTTTTTTTTTACAGTGCTCATCAACAGTTGTTTTCCCATGAATCTAACAACCAGTTGCTTTTTTCTGCTTTATTGGCCATATTTCTTGTTTCAAGTACTATTTTGGCTGAAGTATGAGGTTGTTCCCCATTATCAATATTGATTTTAATCCTCACTTTCTGCCTCGACTGGCTGCTCAAGAAGGTGTTAATGCATCTTGCGTCTCTGTCTGCAGGACGAGCTGTTGGTCACAGGCGTTTAAGATTCGCCTGCCCCGTGCCCCGATGCTATAACAGCACCTACATTGATCGTCTAAAATTCAAACGTCACTGGAGGGAGAAGCATGAAAAGTTTGCACTAGTCTATCCTTGTAGTATCTGTGGCCTGTCTTACTCACGTAGAGAGTCTCTGCACCGACATCTTCGTGTTAAGCACGGATTTGATGGAGAGGCATCAGCCTTGGCAGACAGTGCCCCATCTACGTATCAGGAGAACAAGTTCTATGTGGATCCGTCACCGTTTACTCTAGATGTGATTATGAAAACGTCTGGCTCTCTCACACTGTGATTGTAGGAATGGCTGCGATGACTGGGAGTTACCACATTTGGGATTGTTGATTTTGTAAAAGGGTATCATTCTTTTGAAAACTATTTCAAACTGCTTTCTTTTATGATTCAGTTCTGGGCAATTTTTGACTTTAATTTTGATAGTTAGCTTGCCTGTTTCCCATAAGCTTATTTTTTGAGAAAAGGATAGGGTTTATCGTCTTTCTATACCACATTTGATTTATTTTTCTGTTATGTAAATCTGTATGTTTCTATGACATACATCTCTATTGTGTGCTAATATTTGTTCTAGCTTGTTCACTTTCAGTGTTAAAAAAAAGTCCCTGTCCTATGCCCACGAAGCTTTGTATGGCACTTCTGTAGGCCAAACAAAATTATTTTGTTCAAAAGAATGTTGGTCCAGTAAATATAAAGTTTCTCTATTTGGGCCTTATTTTGAAAACCACCATTGGACGGAGAAGCACTCATTTTGAGACAGTGACATCACCCTGCCCCTACATTTCAGGCTAAGCTTGTAGATTTCATCCCACAAATATTTAAACATCTCCACATGAGTCTTGAAAAGTACTCACCCTTCTGTTGGACCATATTTCATAGACCTGCGTTTAAAGTGTGGTGTTGATGAAAATAGGTCATCTTTTTCATGTTTTAGGTGCATGCTGTAAATCCTTTAGTTTTCAGTGACCCTCATGAATGGGCTTTTAGATTCTGTTGGTCATTCAAAACCCATGTGCAAATATCTGACAAGACTAAACAGAGACATTTGATTTTATCTTGTTTTAACCTTGGGCAGACGAAAGTGAACAGGCTATTGTGATGTTCAAACACATAAAGGAGAAAGTTTGGTGTTGAGCTGACTAAACTCAAAACAACTGTTATTTCAATAACTTGTCTCAAATTTTGCTACTTGTACATGTACCTTCATTCACAAGACATTCATTTTTTTAAAAAGCTTTCAAAGAAACACGGATACCCTGTCTAATTGGTGATTGTTGTTACACATGTCCTGGTTTCAAGATCCAAATTTGAACATGCTAACAGTTTTATACACTGTTTATTTGATTCAGAAGTTTGTCAAGAATTGAGCTGCCTCACTACAATCAGTCATAATAGGTTGGGTGTGTGTCTTTGTTTGATTAGGTTTTCTAGGGGTCCAGTTGGATCTGTAAAACATGATTAATGGCAAAGAATGGTTTATATACAACTTAAATAAGTAGTTCATAAATTCCATCCATATGATCTGACCCATTATTTAAGGAATACTTATAATATATATTATATATATATATAGATATGGTTTGCTTTTTTTTATCAGCACTGTTTTTTTATGCCAAGTTGTCCCATTTTCATAGATTGCCGATGAAATTTCCCTTTGTAACTACTGAATTTTAAAAAAATGTATACTTGCTTTTTTGACTGGGTCAAATTTGTGCCTGTTATATGATACGGATGAAGAATTATATGCTTCTTGAAATAAATTTTTTAAAGAAAAACAAGGAGGAAATTTTTTCTTGACTTTTATATATTTTGTGTACTGTTTTGTTATTGGACTTGTAAATCCATGTATTGTAATCCCACATTCAGTTGATTCTGCTTGAAGTAAGCTCAAAGACACAAAATTTGGGTTAGGTAAACATATATTACCTTTTCTTACACTTGTGGCTTTAACACTTTCAAGCAACCGGACCATATCAGAACCAGAAAACTTTCGTGGAAAACTGAAAGATGCTTCTCAATTCTTCGTGGTTTCTCTTAGTATTACATACTTTTCTCTTAAATTTTTTTAGGGGGTTATAATCATGCTTTTGTCTACTAGTTTAGTCATGTTTATTTTACCGGTATTATATTTTCATTTTAATTCACTTAGCATCTTTTGCATGGGTGTTTGGAGGCCACCACTGGTAGGTCCTACCTCTTTTCTGTCCCTCTGTTGTTTCTGCCTGTTTTTCATGCTATTCTTGAGTGCGCTAAATGTGCATTGTTGATGTGCTTCTCTTTACTGGAACAATATTTAGAAAAAGTCTTTCGCTGAGACATACCCCAAAGTGAAAGTTAAAGGGGTGTCTTTTTTTTCTAGCTCAGTCTGTGGACTCATTTAATGATCTCTAGGGCTGCTTTTCGTTTTGTCGTCTTAAAAGCTTTTCTTTTCCTTTGAATTACTTCTTCCAAAGGGAAAAAAGACGACAGTTCTCTCTGTAAATCAATGAATATCATTATTCACTTTTTTAAAGTAAAGTTTTAAAAGAAGCACTTTGACATCAATAGGATCATTTCAGTGCTGAGGGAAGGACCGTACACCAGAAACAGCAGAGAGAAAAAGATGTAGCATTGCCAAGACTAGCAGATCCCTCCAACAACCAACCACTTAATTATAACATTAAAAATGAGAAACTCATTCTCTGAAAAAACAAAACAAGTAAATGGCTATCTTTGTTTGTGACAGAAATACAGTTCGAGCAGGAGTGTTTCGCTGCTTTCAAATACAATACAAATGAATATTATGTACAAAATAATCATCAGAATGAAAGGCTTAATTGTTTAGCCAGTGTTTTAGTACTCATTACACCAAAACATTTTGTGAAATCCAGAAGTAGGTCAATGGCAACTCTGGAAAAGAAGTAAAGGGAGTAGACTACAAGCAGCACCCACTAATTGACCACGTTGTGAAAGTTCTCTAATCGCTGCTTCAAAAAGTCCTAAATGATTCTACATTTTTGTACCTTTTAATTTAATTTATTATGCATTTTCACTTCAAATCTCTGTTCAGATATCATGTTATAGGCCTACCGGGTGTGCAGAAAGTCTGTGGATGCCTCTTCTACAGTTGTTTGACAATTGTAAAGCACAAATTTAAGTTGGTGTTAGGGAGTGCTCTCTCAGTGTTGTTATTGTTTTCCTCTGCTTCCAGTCCAGACAAAAACATTACCAGATGTTTGTCAATAGCACCTTTTGGTTTTAATTGGTATGAGTCGTGAATTACATGTTTTGTGTAAATTACCAAACTTATGGTTGTCAAGTTTCACTTTTTTGTTCTCAAGTTGGTGAGAATTGTTAATATGAGAAAAGGACAGGAGTCTAAAAACAAGCAGTAGGATTGACCTGCTTAGTGACTATGATACAACATGGTCTATTTTCTGCCTGTTCTGTTATTTGAGAAGTGATTTAAACAGTAAGAATATAGAATGTGGAGTTACTCATTTGTCATTATGATTTCACTCATTCTTTACTCTTCTGCTGTTTAAATTGTCTTTAGTATCCCCTGAAATCTTATGAAGTATAAAGGTCCCTGAGGTGATCTAGACATTATTTTTTCCACTTTAAATGAATTGAGAAGTCAGAAATAAAACTTTTTTTTTTAAAGAAAGAAAGAAAGGGGCTTCTTGTGATCCACCTTGAGTCTTTAAGTCTAAATTTGACATCGTATGTCAGTTTGTTAGCTGACGTTTGAAAATTCAAATTTGGATGTCTTTGCTGTACCAAAAAAAGTGAATCATGTATTGGACCCTGGTCATGTTTACGCCATCTATTCAGTGGTTGTGTTTTTTCTACCAACTTGTAACAGAAAGGCAATAGGAATTAAAATAACTTTCAATGTGCCAGTACAAAAGTCTTACATGTAACGTTAAAAATTAGTTTATATAGTTCTGGTTTCTCATAGCACCACTACTCCATCAAATTGGCATCTACAAATTCCTGTGTGAAAAGATGTACTTTCAAAACAATTTTCCTTCTTTATGGTGGGAAATTAGTTGGGTTTTTTAATAAACCAAAAGTGAAGGAGGGGCTGGGTGAATAATGAACTAAAGAATATATTAAAAGTGCTTCAAAAGGCTTATATCAAGCTGTCCAGTGATGAGGAAAAGTTGCTGAGTCACTGTGGTTCCATGGAATTGAGGAAAGAAAATGTTTTTTTGCAAAACTTGCAAGCATTAGATATATTAATGTCCTTTTATGGCAAAAGCAAAGTAATCAAGTCAAATAAATTACTCAAAATACATAGTGCTGGAGGAGTAAGCAGAAGCGCCCCCCCCCCCCCCCCCCCCCCCCAAACAAACAAAAAATCAGACAAATGACGACATGCTACTGGAGTTGTCAAGCTATACTATAGGACATAGCACATCTTTATTCTCATAGGTTCTTCAACATCCAGCTTGCTCTGTAAGTAATAATTATTTATATATGAAAATAAATAGCATCTGTATAATGTATAGCACTTATCCCCACTCAACAGCAAGCTCTATGCACTTCACAATCTAACATTATTACCTTAGCAGACCCCAGAACACTCGGAAACATTTTTAGCTTCCCGAGCAGCGTACAGTGCAAGCAGCCTATTACTATTAAGCGGTCAAATACTAACAGACTGACAAGACCTTTTGCTATCTTTAGCCGGGGTACCCATTCCCACCTTCGTGAAGTGAGGAAAATTTGTGAAAAGTTCCTCCTTTCCCAAGGACTCAACATCGGACCCTTGTCAGAGTTCGAACCCATGGCCTTTCGGGTGCAAGCCCAACGGCCTACTAGATAGCAACCATTTCTGCATACATGTATACCACATATGCCAAGGTGATTTAGCCCTCGTTTTTTAACCTTCTGGGACACCTCAGATCTTAGATTTTGACACATTCATTTGCCATGATAGGGTTTAGTTTTTTTCCCGTCTTGAGAGGGGGTTAGGAATTAAGAGTATATTATAATCTAAAAAATATTTGATTGGGTCTGAAGGTAACATCAGTACTGCAGTGCTAACATAGAATTTTCTTTGCCACTGCAAAGGAGCCAGAGGATCATTTGGCTACTCTCGAGGCCTCAGAGCAGAGACGTTTGAGCAGGCACAACGCCGGAAGGCAATGCAGAGAGAGCGAACTCGTCGATACAGGTTGGGATTTTCATATTTTCAAGATAGAAAGCAAGTTGCTCTTACGAATTAATAGTCATTTAAGCTGAAAAACATTGAGGTAGAAGTATCTTAAAGAATATCAAACAAATTATTATGTTATTTAAAATTAATGAAATGGTGAAAGTGAAGTCAAGTCTGTGTTCTGGTATTCCCATAACAGGCTCTAAATTTAATCTAGGTTGCCGTGTAGCCAGTTTTAAAACCATATTTCTGTAACCGTAAAAAGTTTTTATGTCGCATCCACCCTCAGCTTTAAAGAATACTTAATTAAGTTTAAAAATTAGTATTATGCTTAATTATATGCTAGCATTGATGTAGGTCCTCTACACATTTGTTTGGTTTTTTTTCCTTATTTAACAACTGGTTTAGAGCACTTTGCAGGACTAGCTTTTTGAGAAAAGTATTACAATGCTATTACAATGCTCACACTCCCACAAACATTGCCAACCCAGTTACCTAATTGGTGCAAAGTTTGGGGGGGGGGGGGGCGTTTGGTTTGTTTTGCTTGTGAAATTAATTTTTCATCATTTTCAGAGAACGACTTAAACAAAGAGTGTTGATGTCTCAGCTTGGAATTAGTGAAGAACAATATGGACTTATAACGCCTGGTTATAGAAAAAATCGAAATCGACAATGGACACTGGGAATGACGGAACATCACAAGTTACCTGCCCATAATATAGAAAATGACTTCAGTGCAGGATCAAGGGATTCAAAGAAGTGAATATAACACTGCTAACATCATGCAGGTTAGCCAGTGCTGTAACTTACTGTAAAAAGTTAACCTGTTGCTTTTTCTTTGTTGACATGCTTTTATGTGTGTGAGGGAGATTTGTGCAATATGGTGGAAGGCAGAATAGGGTTCATCAACATTTGCCTCTTTCACCCTGGCATTGGGTATAGGCGACCAAGAAGGATTTTCCACCTGTCTCTGTGCTGTACAATTTTGTCCATCTCAAGCCAGCTGTGTCCCTAAATAGGACTAATTTTAGCATATTTTTTGTAATCAGGTTTTTTACCATGGTTTGGTTGGGGGGGGGGGGGGTCACGCTGTGTGGAAATCAAAATTGTTGAGTGTGTTGCAATGGTCACTGAATGTGCCATGGCGTGTGATATTTGTATCTGAATGCATGGACTTTCATGTTCTCCTACCATTTATTTATGAATGAAGTGTCTCATGTTAATGGGTGAAGACATTGAGAAAGTAACTGTTACAGGGTATGTGATCTTAAGCAATTTTGTGTTTTTGTTTTCCTTTCCACACTCATCTCCCAACTTGCTTCAGAAGAACATTTGTTTTCATATTATTATTTGTTCTGGTTGAAAAACATGATTTCATGTTTATATTTTTTTGTATTGGAGTGTAGTTTTAAGTTTCCTCAGTGAGAAATGTTAGTTTGTAATTCTGAAGATGTGCCCTTCATACAATTTGTTTGCCCAATGCCTTTGAGTGGCTTGTAAATCACAAGTGACTGTGTGCAGTCTTGAGAGCTTACTGTAGACAGTTTGCTTTGTGCCACTATTCTTGTATCATGGTTCAGTGTGTATGGCAGAAATTGGTGAAAGATGTATGAAATCTGTGTGCTATTAAATGTC